AAAAGTTGAGTTGCGAGTTACGAAAGTCGAGTTGCGAGTTACGAAGGTCGAGTTGCGAGTTAAGAAAGTCGAGTTGCAAGTTAGGAATTAAATTTGCGTGAAAATGGGGAAAACTATTTCAATTTTTTGGTGTACCTCTTTAACATTTTTGAATGATGATTGCTTATAGAATTGTATTCAGTATTGTTGATTCTTTTTGTAGTTTGGACTTCATCTGAGTCTCGTGTAAAAAAAAAATGAATGGATTGCTTAAATAATCACCACGCAAAGTATGGTTATTTTCTTAAGAAACAGATAGCCTTTTGAAATACAGCGGATGGCTTGTAGTTTAATTATTATTAAATTTCATAGCTAGCATAGTTTAAGTTATATATGTCTACCTTGGCTATAGAAGGGGGAAGGTTGAGCGCTCATAAAACCTGTTTAACACCGCCGCATTTTTGCGTCTGTCCTAAGTCAGGAACCTCTTACCTTTGTTGATCTTGTAAATTTTTTAAATTTGGTTCATCTATATGTGTTGGAGCATAAAATGGCATCCATTTTCTTGATCTAGTGTACATTGTGTTTCGGGGCCTGCTCGGGGCTGCCTCTGGGTGTGGGATTTCTAGCTGTGTTGAAGACCCATTGGTGGCCTCGGGTTGACTTGTATATTTTGGTTGGGTTGACTTGTATATTTTGGTTGGGTTGACTTGTATATTTTGGTTGGGTTGTTGTCTCTTTGACACACTCCCCGTTTCCATTCTTTATTCTATACATGTAGCTGTCAAAGATACTTTTGTTAAAGAGACAAAAGATGCAATTTTGGAATATGTAACTTCTTTCTAAAAAACGGGTTAATCATACAAAAATGTACAATACCTTGCTGATATCTGAAACTACAACATTTGTATCAAGGCTGCATGCAGGTAAAAAAATAAACTTGTGACAGACAAGGCTTCCGTGCTCATACCATAAAAACACACACCATAACATTCCTTAAAACTGTTCCTTTATTTTTTGTAACAGCAGTATAGCTTATTGTAGAATAACGTCTTTCCAAATTAAAAACAAAATCCATATTATGATCTATGCCAGGAAGTTAACATAATGCCATAGAAAGACATCTATAGCATGCTTATTTTTGCATTGTAGTATTCAGATATACATACATTGAACAACTTGGTTATTAACTATTTGGTATATATATGCACTCTCCACTTGGGGTTGAATCACAAAGTTAACAAAGTTCAAAATTATTTAATTTATCACATGAGATATTTTCTTAAGTTAAATGTGCAATTGTGCCTATAATAATAACCCTAAACCTTTGTGAAAGACGAAGAGTTAGCACTTGGTATGCTAATGAATGTCCTTTATTCAAGCGTCACTGATGAGTCTTGTATAGACGAAACGCGCGTCTGGCGTAGAAAATATTATAAGCCTGGTACCTTTGATAAGTATTTACTTTAGGCCTAACACAGTGCCATATTCTGTGAGATGTCGATAGTTTGCAAGTATATTTCATTTGTCTATATGATTTATTTTCTTATGCTTGATTTGTTCAGTACGGTATACATTTTGTCTTATATCTACCATATATCCTGTTTTATTTTAGAAAATGAACAATGTCGCTCTCATGAAAGAAAATTAAGTGTGCGTGACTTTGCAACGTATAGACTCTTATAAATAAGTATCTCATAACTCTTTCAAATCCTGCAATCAAAATACCAGGACCCTTCCTCATGCAGTGTATAACTAAGTTCGGGTACATGTATGCTTTGTTTATTAAATTGGAAGTAAACCTGAAAATTCTGTTTCAAAAATCAGACGACACCACCGTTTATATATACGACTGTTTATATATATATAATTCTTAAGAAATTAGAGAAACATAATATTTTTGTAACTTGCAACTCGACCTTCGTAACTCTCAACTCAACCTTCGTAACTCGCCACTCGACCTTTGTAACTCGCAACTGGACTTTCGTAACTCGCAACTCGGCTTTTGTAACTCGCAACTCGGCCTTTTCAACTCGACAATAAGAAACCCTCTAAAAGTTTAACCTCATTTTCGCATTCTATTTCAATACCTTCCAAATTAACATTAAGTATTTGTCTTTACTAAAAGTGCAGAAATTACTATGTGATCCTTGTAAACTCATCGAACTTTTAAACAAACTTATTAGTAAAGGTTATCTTACCAATGTTGTAATTAGATCTTTGAATATAATTCTGGTCTGTAAAAAATAGGTTACTGATTTGTCAGAAATCTGTTAAAACAGCCATTATAGGCAGATATGGCTTGCCAATAATAATTCCCCAGCAAGACATCAAGTCACATTTACTTCCGGTCAGTAAAGATGGACTCCTGTAACTACAAGGTGATAATTGAATGACAAAGAAACACATTTTGGTCAATGTTCATCTTTCAAGGTCGTAAAAATAGACTGAAAATGACCATTTTCAGCTTTGGTGGGTTCCACCCACCAGAAAATCTTTATAATCATGTGATTTCATTCCTTTCTAAAGCAAGAAACTAGTCAAGTGGTTGTATTTATCTTCTTATTCAGTTCCCCTTTATTTAGTCTTTACAGTTATCGCTTGGTGCTGAAGACAAATAATTATATTTTAGAATTTTTTGTTACCAGTGACAGCCAAATTCAGGATTATCATTCTTTTTCAGCACTAGTTGGTTTATCAATATCTGCTAATACAGACATACAGTTGTGACAAGGACTAATTATAAAATAGAGAAAGTACTGTTAAAAGTCAATGAAAATGCATGTCACTGACATAAGCTTTGTCTCTAAAATTCATCTTTCATTGACATATATTTACCAGAGACATTAAAAAATCTCATCTATAATAAGATAAATATCAAACCATGGATTTGACTATTTCAGGACTAAAAATTAATTGAGGGTAAATTGCAGTAGTATCCCATAATTTTTTGTAAGTTATATTTTCATCAGATAACAGTTTATTTCATATATGTTTTCCAAACCTTAGTAAAAAAAATCGTATTTATTTACTTATTTAGAGCTTAAGTTACTATATGGTTTGAGACAATATCAATTATTGAAGATTGTAACATTTAACGAGGAATTTCTCATTGGCAATTACTAACCTGAGAAGATTTTTGGAAAGTTGTAAATTGTTGAAAGAGATCCCACTTGACAGCACCAGCTTATCAAAAGGCATATTAGGACAAGCAAACTTATCTTACTAGAAACCATACTGAAAGTTAAAGCTCCATACCTACCCACTTATACATATATGATGAGAATAGCATTAACATGCTTTGAACAATTCCAACCAATTCAAAGTCCAAAGTTTATTTAGAAAATTGCAGTCATGAGCTTGAAATGCTTGTTTTGCCTCAATATAGAGTCTGTTGATTTAACTGTATATGAATTCTTTCACTAAATCAATTGAAAATTAGATGTGTACTGATTGATATTTTAGTGCTAGATACATGTTGTTTTTTTGATTAGTTGAACTAGCCTTCCCTAACCTACTGTATGCCATCTATATGTTTGCATTTTTGTTTATGCTTTTTCTATATGAGGGCTTCAGGGAAGATGAGTTATATTGCTAACTGTGTAACCCTCTTAAAATAAAGTATTGTTGTTGTTGTTGTTAGTGAGAGTACTATACATTAACATGCCTTTTGTGTTTTTGTTAGTTGTTTTTGTGCTTCGTATCGATCTGATGCATAAAGGCCTTTTCAACTTATTTTTTTTTTAGTTTGTTCTTATGTTGTGCTGTTACACCACTGTTCCATATAAGGGAGGGTTGGCACGCCTGCAAACATGTTTAACCCTGCCACATTCTGTATGTGTCTGTCCCAAGTCAGGAGCCTGTAATTCAGTGGTTGTTTTTGTTGCTGTATATCATATTTGTTTTTCTTTTATTGTCTAGAACATAATTCAGGTTGTCAGTTTTCTCATTGATTTGCTTTACATTTGTGATTTAGGGGCCTTGATTTGATTTTTGATTTTTGGTGTTTTAACGCCACTTTTAAGCACCACTTTTGGGCTATTTCGTGGTGGCCAATTTTTATTGGTGGAGGAAGCCAGAGTGCCCGGAGAAAACCACCAACCTTCGATAGGAAAAAGATTTAGAGGCCTTTTTATAAATTGAGAAGAAATACAGTCATGAGGTTAGTCCATCTGTTTTGTCTAATATAGATTCGGTTGATTTACCAGTACATGAATTTAGACAATCTGCTTACCATTTTTTATAAACTGCATAAAAAAGTTTTTGTGAGCAATGTCTCCTACTTTATTTTATGACCACCTGTAACCTTGAAATCAAATGGGGTTTAACCTCTCCATTGGTAGTTTTTGATGATCTCTACCATAATTTCACTGCATGTGTAATAAACAGCTGCGCCATAAGCGCATGATACGCCTGTCGCTTTTTCAATAGATATAAACCAGTCACCAAAGTTTCATGAAACTGCTCAAGGCATTTTTGAGTAATTGTCCGAAAACTGGAAAATCACCCATTTTTAATGAATAAAACCCCATAACTCGGAAACGTAAAATCTAAAATTTATTGAATTCCAAAGGGAGCTCACATCAATAGACATAAACAATTCACCAAAGTTTCATGAAAACTGCTCAAGGCATTTTTGAGCAATTGTCCGAAAACTGGAAAATCTCCCTTTTTTAATGAATAAAACCCCATAACTCGGAAACGTAAATAAAATTTATGAAAATCGAAAGGGAGCTCACATCAATAGATATAAACAATTCACCAAAGTTTCATGCAAATTGGTTAAAGTGTTTTTGAGTTATTGTCCGACATGGTGACGACGAAGGACGGACAGATGGACAACGGTATACCATAATACGTCCCGTAAACGGGCGTATAAAAATAAGCCAGTACAGGGGGTTAGTTTGGCCAATATTGAATTATTTCTGCCTAATCATTTTCACAATACCTGTTTGCATCTGCTCAAAGATATAATGTATATAATATCATCTGTAATGGACTTAAAAAGAATGAGAATTAAAACCAGTATAAATTATTTATTCAATATCACTTTTTAGGGTGCCAATGCAACAATTTTAGCTGACATATTTTATACAATGAAATGCTATTTACCAACCTCTCTAATACAACCTTTCTTTTCACAATTTTAACATTTGTGCTAAAGTGAAATTTTAACTACATGTCTTTTCAAATTTGTTATGAGTTATGAGTTGTTTGAAGCATGGTATAATTCTGTATTGTTATGAGTTGTTTGAAGCATGGTACAGTTCTGTAGCAATACATCTTCAATCAGGAATACTTTTTTACTAAAATTCAATATGAAATTCACACAGTACAACATAATGTTAAACTTGGCTTAAAAACAGGAACAAGAAGTGGAAATTTACAAGACAACAGATGCTCTCAGTTTCATATGAGAATATATTTTATTTTTTGTAATTTGTTTAGGGACACAACCTCATAAAAGCGAAAGTAGACATCTATAGATTGTAACAAAAACAGTCACAAATAACGGGTATGAAGGATCTCAATAAATCCTCTATTTATTGTAAAAAAAAATGTTTCAATTTTTGGATTTCAAGGGTGTTTCTCATGTACTGCATAAAAAACTATCAACATGAATGATGAATAATTTAAATGATTTGTTTTTTATTATATAAGCACTGATCTGTGTAAGTAGGATGAATTTTTAACAAACATTAAAGGTCATTTATTCCATATTGGGTAATTTGCCTTCTTTTATTTCAAATCTTTGTCATAAAATTATAGAGTTATCTCCCATTGTCCATATTATATATTGAACAGTTGCAGGAGAGAAAGAATAAACATGTGAAAATTGTCTAATATTATGTGATGGACATCTAAGTGATGACAACAGATCACACCAATTCAAGTCAAAATCGTGAAACAATGATATTCTATTAGTTGAAACATAGAAACAAGTTGGGTAAGAAGTTTTAAGGTTGTATTAGTAGGTAATCAACTCTAGATTTGTACAAAAAGAAGATTTGATCTGTACAATACCTCCAAATTTCTTTTCTTTCCATGTGATCTCTCATAATCACAAAAAAGTGTTGCAAGCTGACTCTTACAATAACCTCTTCTTTACACTCAAACATATATATAAATAATGGTCACTGCACTGTACAAGGCCACAATATTGCAAACTTTCTATAAATTATTCATTTTATACATCAGTATACATATCAGTATTTGCAAAATTATTTAAAGCACAATTCAAATTTTGTAGCCACCTTCCCTTTTCCCCAGACTACCATGGCCACTATCATGAAGAGTTTTAAAAGGACATGATTTCTGAAAGACATAGATCTATGATATATTGTTATTTTCCAAAACAAGTCATAAACAAAAGAGTTACAGGGACATAATTTCTGGCCAAAAAAAGAAGTGCAGTACATAGTACATCTAAAAGTCTTGAACAAATATGGTATAAGATAAACTGTCAAAAGACTTTACAAAAATTTGGTGTTCACAAGATATTAAATATGTACCTAGTGATATGATGATGTTTAAAGGGACATAACCTTTGTCAAAAAAGGTTGTCACTAAAATGGATAAAGAGACACAAGATATAAAACTCTGAGAAGATGTGTTTACATTGTAATGTGTTATCATTATATTTTGTATAAAACTTTTTTTTAACTTTTATTCTATTTCACTTCACATCCAAAAATACAGACCCTTATTTTATTTTTAATTAAAAATTCCTCCCTTTATAAATCATGTGACCAAAATACTGCAGCACCATGATATGTGATGAAAGTTGAAAAGAAAAAATGCACAATGCAAATAATTTATCTATTACTGCTTGAATGACTAGAATAATCTTTTTGAGTCATGAAATAAAAGTCAAATCAAAATGACTATCAGAGGAAATAAATTATTAAATTTAATACTATTTCCCACAATATGTAAACATGTGAACAGTAAGGACATCATATTCTCTGAGTTCCCCCAAAAAACTTTTTCATTTATATATGTCCATACTAATTCACTGGTATATTACAATTTCAAAATTTACAAAACAAACTCGTTATTTGATAAAATACACAATATAAAATAAGGCATTCAATATCACAATGGATTAGCACTGATTTTACAATTAAATGCAAAATATGGACTTCTGTCTAACAAGATGGCTAGTAAAATTACACTAACATCTAGCTGACCAATTATATAAATATCTTCACCAGCTTTACCCTCCAAAATCTAAGGAGCACATTATGACTGAACACTCAATACTTAAAAGAGGTATTACAATGTTATATTCATACATTAATTTTTGTCAATATGATGTGAACAATTAATACCTTCACTTTTATGATTGTTTTTTTTTAAATCTGAACAGGCAACATTACTTGATGCAAAATCACAACACCAATTCATACAGAAAAGTTCTCAACATGACTGTTCTCAAGTCAGACGGTTGTCACTGACAACAAAGGATTGTAGGTTTTTCCTTCAGTATGCCGACTTCCATGTGCAAGCATTTCTTGAATTGTCATAAAATCATCAAATACTTTTCTACCTTTATTCTTCATCATTTTTCTATGACTTAGTTCCAAAATGTTAACTTCTTTCTTTTCATCATGTTCTTTTAAAGTCTCCATTTTGGCTTTCATCATCATTTCTCGCTTCTTTTTATGATCCTTTGCTTTTTCAAAATGACGTTTTCGGTCTTCTTTCGACCAATATCGTCCATGTTTCATTTCACTCATTGCATCATCATCTGTTGTCATTCCACAACGCTCTTCAGATATCTTTTTAGCTCTTTCTTTCAACATTTTATTTCTGACAGGTCTTCTAGTAATATAGCGAGAACCATCTGGACGTCTTTTCACAACCCATTCCATTTGTCCACTATCTGGAGGTGTGCAGTTAGGACTTTGTTGTTGCAGATTATCTGTTTTTAGTTGAACATTTTCATTCTTATTTTGCTGAAGAGATACCACACTACTGTGAGAGGATGGACGAGAAGAGTTTTTTCTACGACACTTCTGCTCCATTTGTTGTTGAAAGAGCTTTTGTTGAATTGCAATAGTATGCTGTAAGTTAGCTTCATTTGTATACATGACATCTGCGTATGACATATACAAATCCTGAAGAGATTCACCCATTGGTTTTTGATCCTTTGACAAGTTTTTATTTTCATTGTTATTTTTGGCTGATAAAGCATTTAATTCTTCACTAGAATTTTCTTTGGTCTGACATGGAGTTTGTGTTTGTTTCTCTGTGTCACTAGTGGATGCTATAGGTGTTGTAGTAGTTGTAGAAGCTAAACATAGCATAGAGTTTTTAAATCCTTTCTCACTGTCATCTGAAACTTGATTCAGTTCTAAAGTCAGAGGTGTGCTGCGACAACTTTCTCCAGTATTATAAGCACTTGTTGTCGAAGCTTCCGAGAAAGCCTTTTGTTGTTTTTTAACAGGACTCTGATTCCAAGAATCACCAGAATTGTTTAATTGCACATTTTTGACATATTCAAGTCGTGTTCCCATACGAGGGACAACCCGTGGACTTCTAGAAGGTAATGTTTCATATATATGATTTATATTCGAATCCTCTCCTATATGATTGTCATACATATCTTGACATTCAATCTGAATATTTTCCATTTCACGATTTACATACTCAATTTCTCGTTCAAGACTGCTCACAGAGTTCTTTCGAGATGAACCCTTTTTTGGAGAATTGTTGGCACTTTTACTATCACATCTTTGAACAAGTACCTCCCGAAATTTATCACATTCATCTTTAGAAATGTCATTAACATTAATCTCTTGATCTGTTATGTCATGTGACAAAAAACTTTCATCACTACGATGATATTCTCCTCTGCCTTGACGAAACTTGGAGGTCGCAGCTGGTGAATTGGTACATTCTGTGTCAAAGGCATCCTGAATAATATACAATAATACTTATATGAAAATTAAATATAAATACAAATGTGTACACAAATTATACATGCAAAAGAAACACTGCAACCATAGTATTTATCACCATAATACCAGATATTGCTGTCAAAAGCCTAAAGATGGACCAATTACATGTTCTCATAGCAGGAATCTAGTCTTGTCTTGTTATTTAACCCTAGAAGTTAACAATTCATAAGGTTCTTATCCCAAAGACCCAAAATAAAACAACTAAAAATGATCCAAGCAGTATAGATGAAACTTAAAAGTAACTTAACTCTTAATGTTGATAACAGTGGTCATACTCATTTCACTTTTTAATACTTGGGTATGTTTTTAACAATTCAATGGGTTAAGCTTTGCACAAGAAGATGTTTTGTTTATTTTGATGAATGAACATCAGATTAGAGGTTCACATTCTCTTTTGGATATTCTATATCTGTGCCCTACCCAGATTCAAATTTCTAATGAAATCAAATCTACCATTCATAAACTGTTATAACGATATCTTATTAAATTTGTCAATGAAGAATGATTTTTAATCTTGATATCAATAATTTAACAGAAACTATCATATTTTAGCTCAAAATGATTAATGTCTTAAATAAACAAGTAATATACTTTTTTCTTATCAAGATACATACTTTTCTTTATGAAAAAAAGTCATTGAACTTATGAAGTTCTATCCTCAATGGTTGTTTTTTTGAAACTTATATACAGGGAGAATGCCCTTTGTAAACAAAACAAAAATTGATATTCTTGTTACTAGCATTATCAAAAGCATAATATACTGAATTTGACCTACCAATATGACCTTGATTTAAAATCATAATACATTTTAGGTAATAGTTTATAGTTAACTGACTGAAATTTCCTTAAATTTTAAGAAGACAGTACATAGATATGACAAATCCCTGATTTCAGTGTATTATCTTGGTGTGACCTTAGCCTTCCATCATACAGCTGTTTGTCAAGGTCATGACACATGGCATTATATTTGGTGTGTACCCTCAACATAATACCTTACGTAATTTTGATATTCCAATTAAATCTAGAGAAGCTTGAGGAATGTCAAAGGCACCAATTTGAAATCAAAGTGCAATACAAAGTACATAGTGTACACCTTTTAAGGACTTTTTGAGCTGTGATATTGACCTTCAACATATAACCTTACAATGTAGGTATCCCTACCAAATTCTATAGTGTAATGCTCAAATACAAGTAGCAGCAAATTGTAAATGATATTAGTAAGATTTTTTTTTTTATTTTTCTGAATGCTCGTTTCATTTGTGTCTAAAGTCAAATGATAAAAAAATGCCAAAAATAGAAATCATACTCCTGTTACATTGCTTGTAAGTGAATCAGTATGAAAGTTTATGATCAGAAATTTTGTTAATAAACTGTTTTCTACAAGTTTCAATTGAAACATTTTTAATTATCTTTATTGTAACAGATCAAGCAGGCTGTTTTCAGGTGGATATTCTCTTATACAATACTAATATATCACTAATGTCTCCCCGTTAACCTAAGATGCCAAAAGATCTCAGATGAGGATATCATCACATGTCTAGTTTAGTGTCAGATTAAAACCATTTCTGTTGACTGCAACATAAATTCTAAATTCTATATACTGAAAACTATCAGCTATATGTTTGTAATCATTGAATTGGTCGTAATTACAGAACCATAATTGGAAAAATAAAATCAAAGCAAAAATACGATTCAGCCTGTATTACAATTATTTTTGTCATGAAAGGTGTCCATTTAATACTTATAAAATATCAAACAATACCTTTGATGTGGGACATGTTTTGCATTCCTTTGATTGAAGAAACTGACAGCCATACAGAGAAAAAATCAAACCAAGATCAGAAAAAGTGATAACTATTTATCAATTTTCACCTAAGCCCTTTTCAACTGTCTAGAAATGAAAAATGAATTCAGTGAAATGTTAGACCTTTCCTGCCTCCTTTGATAAAAGAGTTTCTATTAATTCTGTTGGAAACTGATACTGTTTTTGTAATAATCCAAATGTGTTGGGTGATGTGATGTGATATAATGCCCAATTACTTTTTCTCTAACAAAAAGATGCATTTTTTCAAAATTACAAAGGTTTCCCTATTTATTTAACCCTTTATATTTGTCAATGATCCATTATAACCGCTAAGTGATGGATGCTGTCTGGAGTCGTCTTGGATGGTTTTTGCACTAAAACATAATATTGGTTTTACAGTTCATTACAATGATTTTCCACTAGGAGTTGGCTTAATGAAAATGTTTGTTTAGTTAAAGGCTATTATTTGTCAAAAAGACACTAATCAAGCATCCAAACTGCACAGGTTATCAATTAAAAACCATTCTGCACCTCTTATACAGACATTGAGTACTTATAAAACAATTATGCTGATTGACGAGAATTAAAATTCCATTTGGCATTACTATAGGGCACTTTTTCTATTTTTACAAAACCAAAACTCATCATCAGAATTTATTTTACCAGGCCGAAGTGCAAAAGTTCTCAATTACCCAGTGTTTAAACAAAATAATAATTTAAAAGAAATTAATATTAATTACTTTGGTCTGCTTATGCATTCATTCATATTTCGCCTTGTAAGCATATAGATTTACATAATTATCCATAATCGTGCCATTTCTCTAACACTAACAGATGGCCTGAAACTAAGGTCCTCATAATAACAATGGGGAAAGTGTAACTATGACATTACTGGGTGATGTAAAATAAATGATCCTGTCAACATCTTATAATTAAGCTATACACACCACAACAAAGTAGTCCCTAGCAATTTATTTTTTTGTAATTGTTACAAATGTTTTTGTCATGAGGATTAAAAACACATTTTACATTAAATATCCTGACCATAATTTCTTTTGTCTTTTTTATTTCTTTTTTAGTTTTTGTTGAAGAAATTCCTCTTCTCTCTTTTGATGATTTGAAAAATCTCTTGACCCTTAAAATTTCTTGTCACTAGACATTCAAGTTAGAAAATAAAATGTTACTGTTTTTTTTTTTTGTTTTTTTTTTTCTTTTTTTCAAACTAGAAACATATCCTTAATTTCTTTTCTTTAGCCATTTTTGTAATGTGTAAGTAAGTAATGGCAACAGATAAAAGAAAATGTCCTAGGTTGTGAATGTGTTAGATCATTAGCTTATACAGTATGATAAGTTTTATTTACCATTATTTACTTGATAGTATATTGTTTACCTCTCTTTCTTGGTAATAAATATTAAACCCTCTTTTTTTTTTACTTTACATGTTGAACTGTAAAACTAAGCAAAAATACAAGCTAAAATATAAACAGTGAAAAATATCACTTATGAAACTTACATGAAGTATAGTCATTTTGTGCTGTTGTTGTTTTTATTGTAATGCTGTTGTGTTTTTTTTTTTGTAATGGTGTTGTGGTTTTTTTGTAATGCTGCTGTGTTTTTTTTTAATGCTGTTGTGATTTTTTTTTTATGGAAGATTCACTTGCAAATGCACTTTCACATTGTCCAATTTTCTTTTAAAGACTTAAATTTTTAATATGTATTACCAATTCAGAGCTTTCATCATTTTTGGTACTTTCATCTGTGCGTCCAACTCCACTGTCTTTTTCATGTTTATGTAGGGAATTTTCTGTTGTGGCTGTGTCTGTAGTTCCACCTTCTTCATCAAGTAAATGTCCCTGGAATATACAAAAAACAATATAGATCTCCCAAAAATGTTTAGCCAAAGTATTGAGTTATATTATTTTCATTACATTACATATCCTTGCTTTTCCATTTCAGTTCTGCTAAAATAGTTAAAAGTACTAAATAACCTTTACTGACACTGTATTAAAAGTGGGTGTTTAAATAATATAGTGCAAATCTAAGATCAAAATCCATAGGATGCTTCAGATGTGGTTTTACAAGGAACCTACTGAATTATAATTTCTCTGCATAGTGTAAATTATTTTTATCTTAATTCAAATTACATCTTGCATGCAAAGTACTGTTTAAAATCTTTGCAGTAATGTACCTTTATATAAAAAATAAAGTTGGGAAAATTATCCCACCAGTTTCCAATATATTCTAAATACATGTTTTACTATAAACATTTGATGTAAATAAATGTTTAATTCATTTCACTTGAATTCCAAATAAGAATACATATAATTTTACAAAATATATATACATATATAAATATTGAAAAATCGCAGATAAAATCATATGAAAAATCTATTTGTCTTTGAAGTTATCAGAGAGCAAAAGGTAATCAAAGCCATGCAATTACCTGAGTAATTAGATATTTTGAAAAGCTTGAATAAAATAGCATTTCCTCTCATCTATGCCAAGAAATAAAATCCTGGGATTAAAAGATTTAAATCCTATTTAATAACTCAACAATCACATCATTCTGTATCAAAGGCCAGTCCACAATCAAATGATCATTTTCTAAAAGGACTTAATCATTTTCCATCAACAATTCGCCTCCAGGACTCCAAAGGTGACAATATACTTTGTAATTTTCAAATGTAAAGGTCTTGACTGGGAGGTGTTTGAAACATGCAAGGTTAACCTTATTAATTAACTATTTTCAAATGCCTGCAAGATGAAAAAAATCTGTTTGTATGAATTTGCAATCAGATCTAAATCAATATACATCAAACACAACTATAAAATACATTGTATCAAAGGCCAAACACAAAAGATTGCTGTACTGATGGGTAGTCTTTGTCAGTTAGGTGCATATTTACAGCAGCCATATCATAATTCTATAAAAGGAAATAAAGGGTGGTTTTTTATTATATCGTTTTTTTTTTCCAAACTTGAATGTGAAAGGCTGTTACACATAATTTTTTCATTGATTTTACAAAAGAGAGAAAAAAACCTAACATTTGGCAAAATGTCCCGTTTTCACTTTAATATCTACCTAGGGATTTGTCCTAATAATAGATGTCTGATTCTTAGATTAATTTATTGCTTGTTTTTTATGCTTAAATGCCCCTTTGAGAGAATGAAGGGAGGGTATGGAAAAAGTTCTCTTTTATCAAAGAATATTATGAACAAAAAGTGAATAGCTGTTGAAATGAAGACCACCTACATTATAATATTACCACATATATGAGGTTATAGGTGGTGTTTATGGCAATCCAATTAGTGCACAACATGTTCAACACAGTTCCCTTTCACTTTCATTTTCATTTTTTTCACAATCTGCATTTATTAACATGAAATTAAGCAAATAACTGATATATGATAAATGTAAATATAATCGTATCTACTTAAATATCAGCTGATATAATAGTCATTTCTTTGTTTCCATAACCTGCAATTGAGTAGTTTTAAAATTCTAAAATACATTTTTTATCCCAATATAAATAAGGGAAACCACTGGGTGACTTTTTGGCAGAAAATAAAAATTAAATTAGTTATTACTATGTTTTAAATCTAAAGATGATTTTTTTTCAAGTTCTCCTAGCTAGTGCACAGATTATTCAGAAAAAAAAACTGAAAGCTGATAACACAGCCAAAATGTATCTATTACTAACTTAGGGTATCCTTAAAAGTAGCCATGAATCTTGGTCAACCTATGGTTCATTTTGGTTACGGGCCAAGTCACGGGTTAGACTTGAATCAGGTGTTTAAAATTTCCAAAGGATTATGCTTGTTAAAATCTAAAAAATTTTCTTACACCAATAACGTTCAATGATTCTTTCTGAACTAAAACTAGACTGTAATGGATGGGTCTTCTGATTACATACAAAAAAATTTTTTAAAAACATATGACCATTACATTTCCAATCTCATTTCAAATAACAATGAAAGAGGGTATTGTCAAAGTCTAAAAAAGCAAAGTTACACCTTTTATTTTTAACACCTAAAAATGCACTTTTGAGCAATAAATGGTTCTTTTGTACAAACAAATAATTTAAAATAACTCTAATAAACTATATTTAAATAATCATTTCCATCAAGCTTTATGTATTTCTGGAGGAATGACATTTTCTGATAAAGAATCAGTAGTTTTATTTGGTTTTCACATGTGTGTAGTAAGATGGATAAAAGATCAAAGAAAAGGGACTATCTTGGTAAATAAAATTTGACATAATAACTTTTTACTTAGAAATTATCATGAAGTTTTAGAAAATACACTTCACTAAAAAAAATGCAAGTTCAAAGTCAAGTAGCATTTTACATTAAACCTAGTTATTTTAATATTTCAAGACTTCAAATTTCTTACAACAGTACCACATATATTCAAGAGTTTTTTATATTCCAGGTCAGAAACCTTGAGTCAAACGAAAAAAACTCTTATGTCTATCTGTAAAAGAGAGGCGAAAGATACAAAAGGTATATTCAAACTCATAAGTCGAAAAACAAACTGAAAATGCTAAGGCAAAAAACGAAAAACGCTCAAAAGACAAACAACAGTATACAAAACACAACATAGAAAACTAAAGACTGAGCAACACAAACCCCGCCAAAAACTGGGGTTGATCTCAGGTGCTCCTGAAGGGTAAGCAGATCCTGCTTCACATGTATGTTCATACTGCATTGCCAATGGAATTAAGAACTATTTTTTAACAAGGACTTTGCTGAGACTTAATTACATTATTTTGCATGAAATGGTTCAGCAGAACTTGCAATTTTTCACTCAAACATAAAAGGGTTCTTCCATGATAAAGTAGCAGTACCTTAACATTGAACAGTGATTTATGAAACGTTTAAATACTATGATCAACTGGCCAGCATAGTACATACATTGCTCATATGTTTTAGCAATTTTGAATTTAGTCCATTTTTGACAGCTTATTTAAAACATTGATTATTTGGTGATTAAACACTTTCAGCACTTTTGGCTATTTCGTGGCGGCCAGGTTTTATTGGTGGAGGAAGCCAAAGAGCCTGGAGTGAACCACTGACCTTCAGAGAGAAAGCTGGTAATCCACCTCAATTAAGATTGGAATTGAATGAGCCTGCCAGTAGCTTGGTTAAAACTCACAACTTCAGTATAATTTTTTTTTTAATTTAAAATAAGAAAAGTTAGGACACTTTTATTTCAACATTTACTTCCTCCATTTGTTTGATGTAGGGGGTGTATTGGTTTTATAAAAAATCCAAAAAATAAAATTAAACAACAGTACAATTTAAAACACAACAAAAAACATACCCTGGCCAACATTGAGGCCATGATTTGCATATTGTCATGGTGATGCTTTTCTAGAAAATCCATTCGCAACTGTTCTAAAACATTCTGGTCTTCTATAAAGCCATCGTCCATCTGAGAGAGAAGAAAAAAAACTTGTCAAATATGATTCACTTTTTTTTTTTTTTTACACTGATGCTCCTAGAGATTTTAGGCCCTTCATAGCAATAACCACCAGTTGTTCCAAGTGTTTGAAAAAAAACTTGAAAAAAACATATTCAGCAAAAATTAATTTTTCATTGCTCAATAATGCAGGTCTGCTAATTTGAATGTTGTACAAATGTACATGTCTGATGAAAAAATAACACACAAACTTTAAAATTTTTTTTTTTATGTTTTCATATAACACTTCAAATGACAATAAGTAAAAGTTCAAAGACTTTTTGTTTTTAAGTTTTTCTAAAGAATTTTCAGACAATGAACAACTAATGAGATCTGACACTTGAGGTAATCTCCAGGAATATTGGTGTGAATAAAATAATGTATGAACAAAATAAAAGTGAAGACCAAAAAAAAGATTCAGATGAAAAAACATGGAGTGTACAGTTAAAAAAAATAAATGTTCACATAAAAAAATGTCTTCACTATGATAAAGAAAACCCTGCCATTTGCATGTATTTAACTAAAAATAAGACGTGGTTTTCACTAGACTCATCATTTTCATCAAAAGTATATCTCTTTATTTATCACCTAAAGTTTGTTTTTGATGAGAAGACTTCAATAAAGAATTAAGGCTCCTACAGAGCTTTAGACAATCCTTGATAAAAAATGGAGAATCCTGGTAGTCCAAAAAATCCTTAATGATAACCCTGCAATAATAGCCTTTACTGATTCTGCAACTAGACATGTCTGGCCATTAGCTGCAATTCTATCATCTCAGCATGTCAAATAATTCTTTTACCTTTAATTAAAAATGCCTTCAAACAACTTCAAAGAAGAAATCATTCTTTAACATTTTTCATGCTATAAAGATGCACCAACTTATCTACAAGCAGACATCTTTATCATAAATTTTGTTAAGAACATGTACCAGTCCTCATTCTAGTAATGTTTTTAGAATTGATCAGTATGATAAGAAATACATTGAATCTAGAAGAAAAGTTTATTCAGAGGGCAAACAAAACAGGTATCTGTCTGTTACCCTTCATTTCTAACATCAATAATCATCCGAAAATTCTTTCATTAATTAAAGTAGTCAGTATGCAGAGTTGCTTCCCCTTAAATTCAATCAATGTTAGATGGTAAGGATTAACAAGGGAATAAAATCAGCAAAAAGAACTGTAATCTCTTCAAAAAATGTATGATATAATTTTGCTGCACACAACAGTTGAACACATGTTTCTGTATTCTATAATACCATTGTTTAAACCATTGTTTACTTCTTTTCCCCCTGCATGTTGCAGACATCATAACAATAGTGGCTGCCAATGTTATGGAATTTTACGAGGATATGATCTGATTTCTGCAGATTCTGAATGCACTTACAATAATGCATCGTTGCTGCATAAACTAACTATAAACTATAGGAACAAAGGACTATTAGATTAGTGAGTATAATAAATTCTTGTTTCGTGAAAGATGAATCTTCATAATAGCTTCTTCCCTATCACAATATTTATACTGTATTACTTGACATGGTAGTTATGGAGTGTTTTTTTTTTTTTTAGAAATACATTTTTCAAATCTTTTTGATGTTTAACAATTTAAATCATCTCCTTCAAAAAATAAACTACATAATCTTGATCAAGATCTATGACTTGATAGACAGGACTTTCAAATTCTTAAAATTCATCTCAGCACTGTCTTCCAGCTTATTGATGGATTGATGCTTAATGTCAAGCAACAAATATTTAATTGTCCTGCTTTTTTTTATAGACTGACACATTAAGCCTATTTTTAATATACTAGCTCACAGTAACAGTGCATAGGAAGATATTTCTCACTAACAAGACACATTGACTCCTAGAAAACTAGTCATTCCTTTTACTCATATATGCTGTGTGTTTGGTGAAAAAAACTAAAATACTACCAGTAATTTTAAAGTCTTTAGTTTGACCCAGCAATAGTGGGAAAATAATTAAATTGATGGTGGTTGGGCCCTCCTAACCACACACAATTTCCAAATAGGGATCATAAATTTTATCATACCTGAAAGTTTTGTAGCAGTTTGGCCATAATGAAATATGAACAACCATTTGATTGATATTTTTTGGTAAATTATTTTTTTTTGAAAAACGTTCTGCCATGATTGATGATCCCAATTATTTGAAATACTATTTGAAATAATGTGGAAGTGCCAATCATCAACCATTACTCTCAAAAAAATGCACTTGTATCATTTCCCCAAAGTTCTGTACTAATATCAACTAATTTTGTATTTTTGCTTTACTAGATATTGGTTTGATAGGTTTGTTTATGAATTTTTCTTATTTTTTGTTGGGGAAGGGGAAGGGTGTGGGATAGGTCAAGTTAATACTTACTGTCAAATAATTCTGATTATTTCCCTTGGACCAGTTTTCTGAGTATCTTAAATTTTTATTTCAAAATAATTGATAAATTACCAAAACACACAATTCAAACAAAAGCATATTTTGAAATTTTTCATGTATAGTTAATTTTTAAATTTAGTTAAAGCAGAAATAAGTTTTGCATGCTGCAAAATTTATTTCTGCTTTTTCTTTTTCTTTGCATAAATTAGGTTTATTTATCTAATATTTGCATTTGTTGGCTCTAATTCTTATCAATCAGTGGAGACTTTAATTTTCAACCTTTGATTTCAAATGTAAATTTCGTCTGTTTTGGCAGATCAAAACAATGGTTTTCCTGAATTCCATCTCTAACATACATGAGAGTTACAATATCTAAGACTTTAACAAGTAAGTTATACATGAAATCGTACTGTGTATCAAATTTTTTTTATCAAGTGAAACATTTTTTTTCAAGAATCACAATAGTTCATTCAAATAACCACCAGCTAGGTTATCCATTTATTTTTGTAATGAAGTATGCTCAAATGACATCTTTATCAGTATTTTAACAAAATTTAAGCCAAGTTCCATTTCTAAATTTTCTAACAGAAGATAGCTACAGATCTAAAAGTTGTAATCAGTGTTAATCATATTAGGAGTGGATAAATTAAACTCAATCTTTTCTCCATGTTGCTAAGTTAAAAAAAATGCAGCCATAAAAATCCTATGTCTTGTCACTCTTCAGACTTTTCAAAAGTTATATATCAGTTGTTTAATTGGCTATTACTTTCTCTTTGAAGAAAGCTGACCTTTTCATGGTGGTCTGAATTTCAACATCATCCCAATTGATTACTCTATCAACATGGATGATAACCTACCCTTTGTGCTCTTCACATAATAAGTTAGGTCAGACTTTTTTCAAAGTTGTTTGATGTTTGTGATTAAGTCATCAAAACAATTTTTAACATCCTGATAAAAAAAACATTTTTTTTTATAAATTCTAGAACAAATCCTGATTGGTTTCTTGTAAAGACTGATTCTCAGATTTTGTAAAAAGCACTCAGACTTAATAAGGAAAATAACACTATAGAGGTTAAGAAGCATTTTTCTGGGTTAACCTTCATCATTAAAACACCTGAAAAAGATGTTTGGACCACAGAGTCGCACCAAAATGGTCTATTACGGTAAATGAAGACTTATTGGTAAAAATGTAGTGGGGCCAGTAAGAAGTTTTTTATAAGAAAAATTACAAGCCTTTATAGATATATAGAAATCATAAAAACTGATTTCCTGGTCAGTAAGCCAAAAACTTTGTTGAAAAGAACAATTAGAAGGTATGATTTCATGGATAGTATGAGGTCTTAACTAAGATTTTTGGCTGTGGACTAAGTTTTCCTCTGTAACATCTATCAATGCTTACTCTCCTCTCATCTTGAACGACTAGACTAGGAGGTTTTTTCCTTTCATCTTTTGAAGTGTTTTCATCTTTGTGATCAAAATAAACAATTCATCATTTCAACTGAACAGAAACTAAAACTTGTCAGACAACAAAAACAATGTGAAACATGATAACGTTGATCTGTCCAGTAAGTCTGTTAGTAAACAATAGTAATTAACTAGGTACTGGTAGAGAAATGTAAACAATTAGATACACCTTTGATTCCATACTTTTGTGATAATTACATCCATTAATTTGGGAATCCTGATTATCTTTTGATTGACATGCCATTGTTTTGGCTTAAATTCTAGAACTCATCCCATGGAAAAGGGTACATTGATGTAGTATTATCTTTATATAAGTGCCCCTCTCCTATTTTCTTTTATGATAAGTTGTTGGCTTTGTTAAGCAAAATTGTATAGAACAGTAAATTCAAAAAGAACTTTAAATACAGCAAAAGCAGTAACTTTCATTTTGAATTTGGTATATGTTAAATCTTCTGGAAGTCTCTGAAACATCCTAGATGTAGCAACTGGGCAACTCATTTCATGATCATTTCAGTATAATTTACGATAATTTTAGTCAGTAAAATGTTTTGTGAAAAGAGACCTTGATGTATCATAAGTTTTCAGTGGTTGTCTTGCATGTTAATGCCTTACATTCTTAATTGATTCGCTGTGTGGTTGGGTCTTTTTTTATTATTATTATTATTAATTCAAGCTATTTCTGTATACTCCTACTTATATATTCTTGGTTTAAGGAAAAGAATTTCTTATTCTGAACTTTCTTAGGTCCTTGCAAGGGAGATAAACATGTGTCAATCTATTGTTGATGTGTATAGCAAAGTCATAGTTTTACCTAAAGAAATCAGCAGGGAAAGACCTAGTCTAGTAAAACCCTGTAAATTGAAACAACACTATTCTTTGAAAACAACTTATCAGTACAAATGTACTTGTATGCATACATCTTTTATATCAAGAAAATTACCTGCACTGCAGGCCTGGCTAACAATAGTGTGATGTCTGATGTTCTCTCAGAAAATAATTTAATAGCTTGGTCCCGACTGTGTACATCAATGCCATTTATCTGCAATTAAAGGCATAAGTGCTAAAATTAAACATGAACAGATTATTAAAAAGCATATAATGGTCATAAAATGCAGTGCTGATAAAAAATAATTCTCTTTAAAAAAAAAAAGGTGAAATCTTTAGAAGTAAACGAAAAAGCTATAACGGCTGTTTTTGAAACTGCAGACAAATTTGAAGAATCAATGCTAAATTCAATTTACAAATGAAGCCATTGATGTGATTATGTAATTGAACTTGTTAAACTGAATAAAGTAGCGAACATCAATGTTGTACAGGAAGTCCATCAAGATAGATGAACAGTTACCAAGATATTCTGTTAATGTCTCTTCTCTTTTCAAGTTACTCCAATTTCAAGCAGATTTCATTATTTTTGCATAAATACATGTTGAGAACATTAATATGTCAATATGGTAATAACCAGATTTCCATCATATCAGGAAGTGCATTGTTTTAGAAATAATAACAAGCAATAAATGGACTTTAAATATTAATCCAGAACTGATTGTCAAACAGGTTTCTAGACACCAGACAATTTAATTGATAATAGCAGCACTTGTATAACAATTATCAGGAACTAACACAATTGCAGTTATTCACTAAAGCTTTCAATCCATACCTTTTATTGATAGAATGCAGTGTAATCGTGTCATTACGCATCTTAATGCTTTTATCTCTCCCAGTGTTAACTTTCGACATTAAATTCAAGATACAAATTTTGTTAAAACCATTGAATAAATAAAAGTAGAAAATGGTATCCATTGTCACAAAAATGGAAAAGAAAGGGTATGATGAATTATTTAATGATAAAAAATCCCTGTATACACAAGCAAAGAAACAGTTCTGTTTATTGCTGTTCTTCATCTCAAACTGACTGAAACCTTTAACATAGAGCAAACAATTTATTGGCAGATTTCCACAATACTTCATCTGAACATTGAGCAACATTGATGCTGAATAATTTCAACATATAACTGATTGAAACTGGCAAAGAAATCAAAAGAAAAATTTTTCAAGGATTTCAAAATCAAAATAAACTTTATACTGTCATTAAGACCTTTCCTGGTTTTAATGTTACCAAACTTTTTATGCATTAAACTTTTTGATTTTCATCAACAGTATTAGTGCTTCTAAATACTTGTGCTGTGTGAACTGATATTGGTATACATGTACTTTTATAACAGGAGTAACACAACTATTATTGACAACAGAAATTAAGTTCACTATGTCTTATTTTGGTGACAAATGAGACAAAAATAAGACAAGATAGGAGGTGCACAATCACACTTCCTGTAGAAGAAGTTTGGTAGGTTTCTACTGACAGGTCTAGCAAGGAGTTCCAGGATAAATGATTCAAATGAGGGATGACATTAGATAACATACTGTTCACTAGGTTTGGAGGTGAAACAACAGGTATGATTAAAATATACCTCTAAAATATATCCAAACGAGCACTAAGGAATTTTATTAAAGTGATTTGACAATATGATAACTGTACCTGTAGAATTTGATCCCCTTCTCGAATTCTACCATCTTGAGCAGCTACACTACATGACTCAACCTGTAAATAGAAAAAAGATAAATAAGAATTAAAAGATATATAATATAAATGTCAATGATAAGCAGCCCAATGACATTAAAAACTAAATGACATCTATAGGTTAACATATAGGCAATTAACTCACTCATTATTAAGTCTATACAATGTGTAAAGAAGAGGAAGAGAAAAGTTTTGAATAAATTCAAATAAATGCTATCATTATCAATCCTTTGAATGACAAAAAACATTAAGATCTAAGGAGAAACAATCATTGACAAAGTTTGGGATTGCAGGCACATGAACATGTGGCAGGGTTAAACTATAGTTTTTTGCACAGAATTCCAAAGAAGAAAAAAGTTAAAAGAAAAAACTTTAGCCTTGTTTTAAACTAAAAAGTGGTAAATTGATGTTCTTCCCAAAAAATAAAAGACAAGGATAAATAACAGTGTTATTTATAATTTTTATCAGGAAGTCTATAGTCAGTAAGAAAGATCTAAAAGGCGGTTCTTAAACTTGTTATATTTAATAATATTGCTGTAAATTCAAAAAATTTACAAATCTCTTGTTTTCTTCATCTGTTTTTTTTTTAACTCCTTGTACTTAACAGTTACAAGAGTGAAATTATTTTTTTACAAAGAGCAAAATTATTTTTTTTTACATTTTACTGGCCAATTTTTTAAGCCAAGATAATACTCAGAATAGAATCTTGTGCTGCTTCTGATTGGATGATACAGGTTTGGATTTACCTTTAAAAATCGAAAGCTTATCCATTTAGGTTTAAAAAATCATGAAAATAAAATTCATATTTACAAAATATTTTCCTTTTCCATTAAGCAAAAATAGACATTGTTTTTCAACTGCATTTTAAGTCAATTTTCCCCACATGACCATGTGTATTTTTTTTGGCTGTTATACAATGCTGACATTTCTAGTAGCAGGAACTGCTACCCATTTTTTTCTATTTTGTGTACTCTTCAAGAAAAAAATTATGGAACACTACTGGTACCCTATGGAAAATGCATTACGAATTATTGTGCTCTTGTAACAAGGGAAGACAATGGCTTAAGATCAGGCGATTGTTCAACAGACAAGGGGAGATAATCAACATTATATCTTTATTTTTACTTTCATCTTAAAACCAAACTTAATAATCGTGAGGATGATAATGCTGTAGAGATTTTTATCATATGCTGGCAGAGTTCATCTTCAAAGAATATGTTTATCAAGTGAATTAAAATGGCTTTTGTCTTAAAGATAATCAAATAAAAGATATGCTTTCTTTTTTTTCTTTTCTTTGATGTTGAGAGGGCTACCTTAAACCAAGCAAACATTTTTTTCCTCTATCACTTTATCTTACAATTTTCATCTTTTCCCTTAATCACTTTGTTTATCTTACAATTCACATCTTTATAGCTTATTTCCAATTATGTTCAAAAACTGCATAAAACCTTTCTTATGGATTTGTCAAAGAAAATAACAGTAATTAAGAGATGTAGTCAGAAGAATGGTTGATGTGGAAAACAGTTTCCATTACGCTGAAAAAAATCTACTTGGGCTGAGGTATAAAAATTTAAAAAACAGGTTTTGCAACAGTGATAGTATTCAAGAGTCTATTGTTCAATAGTTTGGATATTCTATCTTGCTCTTTTTACATTTATTCCTAAGACTTGTTCATTCTCTTCGTTCTGTTAAGGTACTAACCTAAACAATATCGGAACATGAAGGTAGGATAACAAATTACTTTAATCTTTTTTTGGTGATTGTTTATTTGCCAAATGAATCTGCTGTCTAGAAATGTACAATATGATGTGGATCATACCAAATGGAAGAAGTTTAAAACTATGTTGGTTTGTTTAGAACTGTTTTCATGAATTAAAATTGAGAATGGAAACAGAAGTATAGTAGAGAAACATAGTAGAGAAACATCCTTGTGTCAAAGAGACAACAACCCGACCAAAGAGCAGAAAACAGCCCAAGGCCACCAACACATCAATGAATCCCCCACCCAGGGGCGGGCTTCAGCTGCCCCTAAACAAAAATGTGTATGTTTCTTGTGTACATGTCTATTATGATTGCATTTTAACCCGTCAGGGTTTTACTTTTTTTTTTTGCAATAGTTATAAAATTGCAGATGCTGAAGTGTTAGAGTGGCACCATGAACAGCATTTGTCTCATTAATAGCATGTAATAACATGTAAGAGTATAGCTATTATATGACAGATGAGAGTGATAATAAAGCTATATATTTGTCATTAGAATAAATAAAACTCAGCATGTTAATCACAGTAACACTACATGATCCCAGTACACATAGCAAATAATAACTGTCATCAGGGTGCCATTTTACATGTTAAGCTGGATTTTTACATAGAATATCAGTTTTAAAGTCAAATGAACTTTTACATCCACTAACATTTGAACTTTGGTGGATAGTTGTCTCATTGGCAATCATACCACATTTACTTATTTTTATATTTTAAGCAAAAATGAAACTTACATCTATATAGTAGAGAAACATCCCTTAGTAAGTATACACACTTCCACTCTCAGTTTACAACTGACCAGTGGCTAGTTTACTGATGGTAAAAATATCAATGGTCAACAGCTGTTTATAAGGTCAGCTGATAATATCCTTTGAAAGTGGTCAGCATGAGAGATGACCAGAGTGAGGATAAAACATTAGCATAATGACCTTATCTATTTCACAGGGTGAAAGGTACATGTCATTATCTGATTAAGAGATAATTAACTACTGCTTACAAGTAAATAAATAACTTATCAATCATGCGGAGTTCCAATTTTATCCAGTGGAGATATTAGAAAACACATTTTTATAATGACCTGATAATATTCATTATCAGAGGCCCCTAAAAAAGATAAGCTGGGTATAGCTTTGGGGTTGCTTGAAAAAAGTTGAAAAATGATCTGTAAATTAAAAAAAAAATGAAAAGGAAATGGAAGCAAGCTATGACAGGTCCATTGAAAAATGGAAGTTAAATGTGAATTTAAAGCAAAAGGTCAAACAGGATCGTTACAATGTCTGAGAATGATCTTCGTTTCAAATATTTCAATTTCAGCTGTTAATATCAGTAATTTTTTGCTCAATTTATCAGTGTTTTGGGTGGTTTAACAGATTTTTTTAAGTTCTGATCAAGATTTATAATGTAATTTCATTCATTTAAATGCGACAGGATCCACCTGTTTGATAAATTTCTACAAATTATTTTTGCATTCATTTAAAACAAGACTGACAGAGAGCATGATAAAAAAATAATCTGATTTCTTTTTTTCTCTCTATACCATGGGAATAACAGTCACATTAGACATTAAATATGAAGATATATGGGATGAATGTCAACGAGACAGCAACCCAAGGTTTTTTGTGGTGTTCTGGTTGCTCCATCATTTGTTTTTTTTGTGTGTACAGTAACTGTCATTTTTTCTTTTCTTTTGGCCATTATGTTCTGCTACACTATCAGACCTAGTTTCTGAATCCCACTTTGGTATACTCTCCTTTTCATTTAACAGAAACAGGAAAAATTAATGATACAAGAAAAATAATTCTGTGTAGAATATTGATCCTTTGTATTTTTTCAAACCTTATCTTGTAATAATATTGCAGAGAAATTTAGAAATTATTTCTTCATTAAAAGGTTTTTATGACACACACAACTTATTGTATCTGTAATTAAAGTTTTTCACTGTTTTTGAATCTTAGAAACAGTTCAATGTAATTAAATATTTGCTTTTCTATATTTTTAATTACAAAGTATGAGTATTGAGAATGTCATTTCGACTTCAGTGCCTATGCCCTTGCTGTTAACCTAACCCTTCATTTGCAATTTTAATGACTGCTAAATCTAAATTCAAACAAAAATTGAAAATAATACTTCATAAGGTTGTGTTTGACCAAAGTGTTTTTCTGTAATTTACCTTCATCAGGAACACTTAGCCCAAGGACGCATAAAATATTTTTGAATTCAGACAAAAGGGCAGATAAGAAATATCACTTAAAATTTCCTGATAATTCAACTGAGCATATGTAATGTCCGATCAATTTTGAAAATATTATCCAATATATTTTTTGGAAGATCACAAGATACGAAAGAGAAAACACTACATGATAAAAACAAGTCATGATTTCATGATGTGATGATGTCAATCACCTTTAACTTCTGTTTCTCTGTTCATTAACATTTTCTTCAAATACTTTTCTCATGTAAAAAGATAACTTATCAGAAAAGTTTTTGTATGTCAATTAATTCCATCATGAGATGGACAGCGGCCTCCAGAGCAAGAAGAGGTGAATGAACACCATTTAAAAATGATTTTGTTGAGTTTTTAACTGTTAGACTGCAAAACAGCCTTTTCAATAAAAGAAATTAGCAACAAAAGTGACAGCTATTAATATGTATTCCATTGTCATATCATGATTTCCTAATTTGGTGATATTCTGAAAACAGGATCTATTAATAAGTCAGTAACCAAATGTCATGATATGAAACAATAAATGTGGATAGTGTCCACATGTGGACACAGATGATGCCCCCGCTTGCATATCATATAGTTATAAAGGGACATAACTGAAGAACGGTAAAAGTGACGCTACCCAAATTTGAACTTGATCTGAGTTTTGTGGTAATAAGAATTGTGTGTAAGTCTCATAACATTTGGTTGAGGCTAACGAAAGAAGAGAACAGAAACTAAAAATTCAGCAATTTTTTTATTTGTAAACACGCATAACACTAGAACGGTTGAGTATAAGTTTTATAACATTTGGTTGAGACAAACTAAAGTTAGAGAACAGAAACGAAAAATTCAGCAATTTTTATGTTTATAAAGGGACATAACTCAAGAATGGTAAAAGTGTCGCCACCAAATTTCGTACTTAATCTGTATTATGTATTATAAGTTTCATAACATTTGGTTTAGGCAAACTAAAGTTAGAAAATGGAAACAAAAAATTTGTACTTGATCTTAGTTTTGTGGTAATGAATATTGTGTATAGGTTTCATAATTTT